TGGGAAACACCAAAGAAGAAAAATTTGTAAGACTCAGCCCTCCATGGGGAAAGGGTTTTTGAACGGACTGACTCTTACCAAAAGGGACAGAATTATAAAGGCAGGACAAGCTTTTTTTTTTTTTTCATGTAGTTAATTTATTATTCATGACTTAATTTAAGTTTATCTGGTGAATGAAAACATCTTAATTTAGAAATATGCACAATTTGTGTGGCTTGTTTTGTTAAAGGATTTGGTTTATTAATTTCATAAGTTACTTCAGAACATTGTTTAATAACTTCATATGGGCCAGAAAAAGGAGGAGTTAATTTTCTAGTATTGGGATAATGGAATTCTTCATAAACAACAAGATCACCTGGGTTAAATTTCTTGTCAACAAAACGTGCATCATATCTTATTTTGTTTTTGTTATGGTAATCTATTGTTCTTTGTAAAGCCAAATTACGAGCTTCGTTAACAGGTTCATAATAACTATTTTGACCAATAGGGGAATCGTAAGGTAATGTACCAAGCAACAAGTAGGCAGGTGGATATTTGGTTATTGAATGGGGAGTTAAGTTATACTCATTAGTAACACTTTCTAATAATTTAGTCCAAGGAACTTTAGTGGAAGTGGAATTAACTTTACATTTAAGCCTAGTTACTAATGATTGATTAACACGTTCAACTTTGCCATTTGTTTGTGGGTGATGTGCTGTGGTTAAAAGATGTTTAACATTATAATTTCTTAGGAATTTTTTAAATCGAGAGGAAGTAAACGCAGCATTTCTATCAGTTAATAATTTTACAGGGACTTGAATTTGGAAAATTTGTTTTAGAATATTAATGTAAGTTTCAGAGTTTTCATTTTTTGAAGGAAAAGCCCAAACATGTCTTGTCGCATGGTCAATCACAATATGAAGAAATTTTTTTGTTGAGTTGTAATAATTGAAACCTCCAACAGTATCTACAGAAATACATTCGAAAGGTGTACTAGTAGGAGGTACTTGTTGGAGTAGGCCAAATCTTTTTTGTTTTCGCTTTTTGTTAAGTTGACAAATAGAGCAATGTTTAACAAATTCAGTTATATCAGAGGTAATATTAGGCCAATAATACTGAGGAGTAATTAAATTTAACATTTTTTGGACACCAGGATGACCAAATTGTTCATGAGCTTGATTTAACAATTTAAGTCTTAATGAAAATGGCACAACTATTTTGTACAAATTTCTCTTTTTTATTACTATTACATCTTTAACTTCATGATACTTAGGTCCACAGAGATTATCATTTTTTTGTTGAGTTTTTATTTCATTTATGTCTAACAAATGTACTGCATGTTGAAGATGGTGAGAAACTGGATGCCTAGATAACATATCTGCTTCAATGTTAGTGCAACCTTTTTGATATTTAATTTCATAGTCAAACATACTTAACTTTAATGACCAGCGGAATAACCTACCTCTTAATTTTTAACATTTTTGAGCCAAACGAGAGCCGCATGATCAGTATGAATGACAAATTTTTGACCGTGGAGGTAATAGTAAAATTTATCCAAAGCATCAACTATTGCAAGACACTCTAACTCGGTTATAGCATAATTTTTTTCATAGTCTCTTAAAGTTCTAGAATGATAAGCTATTGGATGTAAAACATCAGAGGCATCAGGTTGTTTCAAAACAGCTCCAACACTTTTTTGTGATGCATCGACAAAAACATGACAAGTTACATCAGGGTTATATAAATTTAAAACCGGTTTAGTTGTTAGGGTTTCTTTAAGCTTGTCAAATGCATCCTGACATTCATTTGTCCAGTTAAATTTTACATCTTTTTTCAAAAGTTGATTTAAAGGATATCTAAGTTTAGCATATTGAGGAATAAATTTATTGTAAACATTTACAGAACCTAAGAACCTTTGAAGTTCTTTAACATTAGTGGGTGGTTGCAATTTTTTGATAGTTTCAATATTAGCATTATTAGGGGAAACTTTACCTTGTTCAATTTCATAACCCAAAAAGCTTATTTTAGTTTGGGCAAAAACACATTTGGATAGTTTCAATTTAATGTTTTCTTTTTCACATATTTCAAAGATTGTTTTAAGATGTTTCCAATGTTCTAGTTCAGATGAAGAGTACACAATGATATCATCAAAATAATTGCAAGCAAAATCAATTTTATATTTAGTTAATATTCTTCGAATTAATCTATTAAAAATGGCAGGAGCTACTTTAATGCCAAATGGTAATCTGCACCACTCATATAAGCCAAAATTTGTGCAGAAAGCTAGTTTTTCAGTATCTTTTGGGTGAATGGGCACATGCCAATACCCCGAAGCCAAATCCAAAGAGGAAAAAATTTTTGCTTTTGATAATTGATCTAGTAGACTATCCATGAGGGGTAAGGGTTCAGAGTCTGATTTGCATAGAGCATTTAATTTCCTGAAATCTATGCATAATCGAGTCTTTTTACCCTCATCACGTTTAAAAGCTAAAGTTACAGGAGATGAATAGGGACTATTACTTTCTTTAATTAAACCAGCTTGCAACAATTTCTCAACCTGACTCTTTATTTCTTGTTCCTCAACAGGAGAAGTACGATAAGGTCTCAAACTAACTGGCAAGTCAGAATTGAGCACAATTCTCTGTGGTTCAACTCTGAATGCACCAACATCATACTTGTCCTTTGAAAAAACTGAATCAAAATTTTTAATTATGTCTTTTACTTCTTTTCTTAACTCACATTTATTCTCTGTGACAGACTGAGGAGGGTTAACCTGATCTTCAGTGGTCTGAGAACAATGGGAGTTTATTTGTTTACATTCAGAAATATGTAAAGAAATGTTTTGTTTGTTTTTATCATTTGAATGATTTTTATCATTTTGACTTTTATTTAAGTTTTTTCCATTTTGACAAATTTTTTGTTTACTGCAGTCTATAGTTATGTCATATTTTGACAATTCTGGCATTCCTAGGATTATATAAGGTAAAGTATGATCTAGAACATACATAGTCACATTTTTGTTTATGGTACCAATTTTTAATGAAAATGTACATGTTTTAGTAAGGCTAATTGTACCCCGGGTTTGCTGCACAACTATACCTTGAACATTTGTCATTTTTAAATGGTTTTTTGTCACTAAATCACGTGGGATTAAAGAGATAGTTGAACCAGTGTCTAAAACACAAGGCAACGGGTTTCTTTTGTAGTATCCGGATACTGTAGGTAATTGTCATTGTTGATTTTCCTCCTTTGGAGGGTCAAAGTTAGGTGGAGCAGGATTGGGAGATGGTAATTGTCCTGCGGAAAGTCCAAATGGGCAAGTTTGTACCCAATGATAAGCATTGGCAATGCCTTGTTTTGTGCAAAGCCAGCATGGGGAAGGTGGTAGTTTGTTTTGGAAATGGGTGTTAGCATTACTAAAAGGTCTGAAATTTTGCCTAGGTGGAGGAGTTTGGTAATTGTTATTTTGCCCGAAATTTTGCCTGGGAGGAGAATTTGGATGAAAGTTATAAGGCCTAAAATTTTGCCTGGGTGTGAAGTTATGGTGCCTAATATTTCTTGGCTGCCATTGGTTACCACTAACAGAGTTTGTTTTTAAATTTTGGGTGGCAGAATGGCTAGGGTTAATTTGATTTTCATCTGATTTTTGAATCTTTATCAATTTTGTGGCCGTTATGAGCCATTCTGTGGGATTGTTAGGGGAATTTATCGCCAGAAGTTGTCTTAAATTAACTGGCAAGCCATCCGAAAGTCCTTCAAGAATCATGCTTGTACCTAAATTTAATTGTCTGCCTATTTTTAATTTTTCTTGGAAGTATAAAGTTATATCATCACCTTCTTTAAATGATTTCGAAGTGAAATCACTCAAATTGACTAGGTTAGGGGCTATGTACCTTTCAGTTAAAAAGGAAACGAATTCCTCCCAAGTTTTAATGGTATCGTAGGAATTTACATATTCAGTTAAGGCATTGTTTTTCAAGTATGCTGTTATGTTGTTCAATTTCCATGTATCATCTAAGTTATACTCTTGGCATTTATCATTAAAGTATTTAAGCCAAGAATTTACATTCATAGAGTTATTCGGGTCAAAAGGGATGATAATGACAGAATTAGTAGCCTGCATTACAATACCAGATTCATCTGGTTTAGCATTTGTTTTGTCATTCATTTTAACTATTTTACCAGATCTTAAATTCATGCAGGAAAAAATTTAATACAAGTTAGGGAAAACAATTTTAAATTTAAGGGAATTTTAAAATAAGTACATGTTAAACTATTTACTTTAATGCTGCAATTAAATACACAGAACAATATTAATTTTCAGTATAATTTCACGAAAATTCAACTACTAAAATTCATAAATAATTATGTATGAAACATAAACAACACACTCAAAAAATAGAATGATACTAAATAAATTCAAATTAATGTTTCAAAAGAATATATTTCATAATTTACCAAAAATATACTGATCAGTATTATATTTAATATCACAACCAAAACAAAACTATTTATCAAAGAAAATACATTATAAATGAAAATCAATTTAAAATAAAATCAAACATTTTAAAAACATTGAAGATCATGATCTCTTTTATTTATTTTCCCCCCTCCGCAGCAGCTGCATATTTTTTTTTTTTTTGTGCACTTGATTAATTAAAGAAATATGTAACTTCGCTATTTTCGTTGAAGCATTTGATACAATTTAATCCACAGCGATACCGAAACGTTAGCAAATTGCAGAACACCACTTGAATTCTTGCACATTTGAAATATTGAAAATTCACATAAAGATTAACACGATGATTAAAAAGAAGGCGGCACTATGGACATCACTGAGCACAAAAATTTGAAGAATATTCAACGAACAGAACTTTTGCAGAAATAAAGGCTTCAAAACTCCTTGAATGACGAAATCATTAACAACACGATTAGTAACATGAAGATGGACGAGTAGAAATTTAGAATGACGACGTTTTTTTGTGGGTATCCAATTATGCGTAAATTCGGGCGTGAACGACGACTTTGTTATTTAGCTGAATGGCGGCTTCGAAATCCATTGGGGTTTCCCCGCACAGGTTCGAATCCTGTCGACTTCTGTAAGATCTGGCTTTAAAAAAGTGAAAGGCAGTCCATTTTCATCAAGGAAGAGACGAATTTTGTTTAGATCTTCTTTTTATTTAGGCATCAGACGTTATTATTCATAGGTAAAGCACTTAGTTTTTACGTAGCTCCATGACCAGACTTTAGAAGTTTGCGCCGAGCGGCGCGTTGGTGTTGAAAGCTTACATCTCGGCGTGAAAAAGGGCAGAAAAGAATGCGCAGAACGCTTAAGTACTCAGAAGAGGGAATTCCCCTTGAAACTCGTGATTTGA